CTGCGTGGCGTAGTCTTGGCCCACGGCACGCGCCGTACTGCGACGCTTGTCGTGCTGCTGCTTCTCGTCCTTTTCCTCGCGCCAACAGCAAGAGCGCACGAAGGCCACGACGACTCGGAATCACGTACGTCCGCCACTCGCACCCCCCGCTCTGCCGCTTGTCCGGATCGTTCGCGTCATAAGGCCTCTCCCGTCGCAGGTCGCAATCGATCGGCGCGATGCGGCCTCGGTTGATTCGACGAGAGGATCCGTCGCTGGATTCCCGCCGTGACCCCGCCAAAAGCATCGTCATTTCCGCTCCTTGTGCTCCTCTCCCCTGCGCTGCTGCGCACTGCTCGCGTGCCTTCGCGATACCAAGTTGCATGCTTCACGTCATCCCTGTCACCTCCTAACCTTATGAGCCGTCGTATATCAACGCCGCAGCGGCCTACTGTCCTTTGCACCCACAGCCTCCCACTCCCCCCCACAACCCCCCCCCCCCCCCCTCCCCCCCCTCTCTCCCTCTTCCCCCTGCGTGCTTGGTCCTCGTGGCAGCGCCGTGCGAGGCGACGGACAACCCCGTGCGGCTGCTGGCGCCGTACGTGCCGGGGACCATCACGGTGGACGGCGTCACGAGCGACTGGGCGGCAGTGGGCGGGCTGGACCTGCGCCTGCAGCCCGCCATCAACCCCAAGGCCGCCGCTCCCTACCCCTTCGGCTCTGGCTCCATGCAAATCAAGGTACAGCGCTCGGGGTACAACGCTCGGGGTTGAGTTGAGTTACGGCGCTCAAGTGAAAGTCTGCTTGTTTTGCCTCCCTTGTGCGCTTCTTTTCCCAATGCCAACTGACCGTTCGGATCTCATCCCCTTTATGCACTCTGCCGCCGTCTGCTAATCCGCACACACGCGGTGATCTCCTTGCACACTCTCCCTCCCTGCGCTACAGGCAGCGCATGACGGGCGGGACGTGTTCTTCCTGCTCAAGATCCCCGGCCCCTACGTGTACAACAACCAGTGCGTACTCCTGCTGCCTGCACGCCCTCTCACCCCCACCTCTCGGCTTGCTCGGATTGCCGTGCACGTGTGTTTTTAGCACGCTTAGCATGGTTGTGCCCACGCTGCCTGCTCCTGCGCCATGGCATGCTGCTCCCTCGACCCATTCTTCATACTCTCTCGCTCTTTGCGTCCATGCTCGCCCTTCTACCTTGTGCTCATTCCCATGCTCCTGCCTCGTGCTTACTTATTCTTCGCCCACTGTGTGTGTGTCCGCGCGCGAGAGCGCGTGCGTGTGCGTGTGGTTGCATGCATGTGTGTGTGGTTGTGTGTGTTTGTGTTTGTGTGTGTGTGTGTGTGTGTGTGTGTGTGTGTGCATGCACGTGTGTGCATGCATGCGTGTGTGCATGCATGCGTGTGTGCATGTGTGTGTGTTGTGAGCAGGAACCACCACCTGTCCATATCAGGATCGCTCATGTTTGGCATTGGGGATGATGCCACCTATTACAATGTCAGTAACACAACGCATCACCTTATGATAGGTATCCAAAAGAAGTCCTGATCCCTTCAACTACACACACGCAGACCACTGCTCAGATGATTCAAAGGCCCTGCGTGCTCGTGTGGGTGTGGCCTCACATCTCTTGACACACTCGTCGCTTTCCCCCACCGCTGACCCCTCTTTTTGTGCACCAGCATCCCTTCTCATGCCCCCTCCACTGCCAGGCATGCACCACACTCCATACTGCACTCACCATTCCTCATACTCCGTCCCTGTGTTCGACCCCTCCCCCCCCGTTCCCCTCCCACCTTCCCGGTGCTTGCATGGCTGTGCGTGGGTTCGCATTGGTCTTGCATGCCATGCTACCAGATGGGCGGTTGTGCGAACCTGGCGGGGGCGTGCACGGCGGACAACTGTCGCGGGCACGAGGTGGACATAGTGCACTTCGAGGTGGACACGGCCATCCCTGGGCGCACGTACGGCCACAACCTCATGGACCAGATGGACGGCACTGGCGCTGATAGGTGCGTGCCCGTGGCGGCGTGGCCCTTGCTGCTTTCACATGTGTGGTTGGCGCTGCCTGCCTGTTGTGAGTGCACTAGTGTGTTAGGTCAGGCACAACGCGATCTTGGGAAGGGTGCAGTGTGGTATGTGTGGGTGTTGTGCGGTGGGAGTCCGCCGGGCCAGGGCAAGCATGACATGCAGGGATGGTGCAACGAGGTAGAAGAGCTGATGCAAGCGATGCAGTGCAGCCGTGCTGCGCGTGCCGCATGCAGACACAGCAGGTGCAGGCAGGTGAGCTCTTCATGTTGTCCATCTCTCTTGCGTCATCCCACATCACTCTGCCTTCTCCTTCCGCCGTGCGCGTGCACCATCTCTTCCCCTCTGACTCGTGCTTCCCCCCTTCCCCAGCTTCTTGCTCTCACTGCTGCTTCTCCACACGTGCCGTCCATGACCCCTTCCCTCTCCCCCCCTCCGTGCATGAGTGCAGGGTGGGCAATCTGTATGACGGGTACGCGTGGAACCCACACTGCCGCCAGTTCGATGGCCTTGCCACTGCAGGTGCGCGTGCGCCCCTCTGCTGTGCCTTCTCCCTCGCCAACCACCCTCTCTTGTGCTTCACTCGCCCCCCCTGCCGGCCCCCCTCCCACATTCACCACCTGCTCCTGCTTCTCCTCATCTTCTGCTTGTCACACTCTCTCTGTTGCCCCCTCCCTCCCCCCTCACTGCATGCCCACTGGATCACCCCACACGGCTTATGTCCCCACCGCATCGCATGCCCACCAAATCACCTCTGTCCACGCCTTAACATCGAACTTTACTCTGCACTGCGCGTGCTGCATGTGTCTCCCCCCTCCCCCCCCCTCCCTCCCCCTCTCCTCCCCAGGGCTGTCGTCCAACGGCACGGCCATGAACGACTGGCACGGTGTGTGGACGCACTCCACCGTCAAGATGGACTACGGTGCGCCTCCTGCCCGCTCTCTTGCCTCTGGGATCTGGGATCTTTTGGGATCTGGGATCTTTTGGGATCTGGGATCTTTTGGGATCTGGGATCTTTTGGGATCTGGGATCTTTTGGGATCTGGGCGTTTGGCTGTGGGCTGTGGCATGCAGCATGGCACCTCAAGTCAAGCTATGCATGGCCATCCACTGCCCTGCACCATGTCATGACCTGCACACAACACTTCTATTTTCCAGCCATCTCTTCTTGCCTGCACTCGTCTGTCTCCCTCTGCTCCCCTCTTGTCCAAACTATCACTGTCCTCCACCTGCCCTGAACCCTCTCCGCCACTCCTTGCTGCTGTGTGTGTGTCCTGTTGGCGCACGGTGCACGGCAGGGCTGACAGCGGCGGACAGCCCGTTTGCGACGGCGGGCGACGATGGGTACTTTGTGTTTGAGCTCACTCGCCCACTGCGCACTGCCGACCACTTCCAACAGGTGCACACACCGGGCCACACGTGGGTGGCACGGGTGGGTGGATGGGTGGGTGGGATGGGTGCGAGCTAGCAGGGTGGGTAGATGTGGGCGAGTGTGCAGGCTTGGCGGGATCATGTGCTGTGCATGTGTGTGCACCTCCATCGCGTCATCACACCTCCATCACTGGCACACTGCAATCCACGCCTCCGCTTCTCCCCTCGCCCAACACACTCCCACTCGCCCACCCCCACTACCAACACCCATCCCTCTATTCACCCAACCCCTCTTCCCGTCTTCACTCCCACCACACCCTCCACCAACCCCCTTGATTCCCACCATCCGTTCCCTTCTCTCCACACCACAGGACGTGCAGCTGAGGGTGGGGGGAACACACCGAATGGGAGCAGCAGTATGGTACCCCTTAGACGGCGCCCCTTGGCACGGCTCGCAGCACTTCCTTGCCTCGTGTGACTGGCTGCATCTTGAACTGCTGCCTGCCCCCGCGCCCTCAGTGGGGTGGCAGGCAGCGCAGGCGGAGGAGGGTGGTGTGAGCAGCACGGCAGCAGCGGCACTGAGTGGGCTGTCGCTGCTGCTGGCGCTGGCAGCGGTGTTTGTGTCCATTGTTGTGGGCTGGTGGGTGCGTGCCAATGCTCGTCAGTTCCAACCCATGGATGGGCTCTGAGTCTTGCGTTACCGCTCACCACCACTCTCCACCGACCCCTGCGCCCTGCCTGCCCGCAGTGCCGTGTGGGTGGGGAGGGGGCGAGGGAAGAGGGAGTGTTGGGCATGCATGTGCTGGGCAGATTACAAGACAGCGTAAGCGTCATGAGCAAGTGGCACTGGTTCAGACTGTGATACCTCCCCTCTCCTCACCGCTCCTTTCGAGGTCTTCAATCCCCCTGCTGACTCCCTTCAGAACCACACACACAAGCGGTACTACTTACACAGCATATCAGTCTCTGCATCTTCAGAAATCTCATGTGGTCCATCATGTACCGGTACATGTATTGCTACCTTTCTGCATTGCTCTTCTCACTGCTAGCTACTTGTTACAACTCTTAAACCAAAGAACAATCGCAGGACAGGACAGGATGATAACGAATGCAATCCAGGAGAATCAAGCATCTATCTATGAGCGGCGCCTGCCACAAAAAGAAGAGCAGGCAGCACAGCGAGCAAGCCATAAGATACTGGTGCCTAGTGCTACCACAAATCATAGGAAACAGAATGGCGCTTAGACTGCTGTTGGGACTGCACAGTGCAATCAAAGGGCATGCCACAGCTGTGGCACACACTCCAGGCCAACCAGCAAAATGTGGACCCATGTGGCACAGCACCATCACTGCACTGGACCAAGAAACGGCATGGCAGTGGCAGCACCACGGCAAGTGCAGCGCATGGCAGCAGAGCTCTCCATCAACCTCTTGTGCATCGCACCGTGCCTGCACTGGAAAGCACCTCACACTGCGCAACAACATCCACGCCTGCTTCTCTGCCCCAAGATGGCCAACAGCGCACCAGAAGCAACCATTGCTGCACACAGCCCTGCCCCACTGCCATACACCGCTGCTCCTTCCCTGCCCAGTGCCCACCTCTCAAACCCCCACTCTTCATGCGGTGGCAGTGACGGACACTCCCAGCTTCTCCAGGATCATGTCGTCAGTGGTGAAGTTGGGTGCAGCGCGGTGCACGCCGCGGGAGAAGTCAAGGTGGTAGGAGTCACGGAGCCCGTCCACGAGCCCATACTCGGGCTTCCACCCCAGCACCTGCTCCGCCTTCTCTATCGCCGTGAAAAAGTGCTGCACGTGGGGAGACGTAAGGGGGAAAGGGGAGTGTGAGGACAGGAAACAGAAGAGGGAAGCAAGGGGAGGATGGATGGGTGAGTAGACAGGAGGATGAGCAGAGAGGGAGCACAGAAGGAAAGCAAAGCAGCAGAGGGCATGATGCTTGACACATGACGTGGGGCGGGGTGGGGCGGGATGGGGTGGGATGGGATGGGGGAGTGGGGGTTGGTGCAGAGAGGTGCAGGGCGGCAGGGGGCCCGGGCGGGCAGGCACCTGGTTGCGGAGGGGGAAGGCCTTGCTCTTGCCGAAGTCGAAGTCTTTGGGGTTGTAGTGCACGAGCAGCGGCTTGGGTGCGCCCATGGCCTCCGCACACGCCGTGGCGATGCGGTCAAACGTCACGTAGCGCGCCCCACTCACGTTCAGCACCTGCCCGTACGCCGCCTCGTTCCCCAACGCCAGGTGAAACGCCCGCGCTAGGTCCTGCGAGCGGAGGGGGTTGAGGGGAGGGGGGAGAAGAGGGCGGGGGAGGGGCAGATGGAGGAGGGCAGTTTGGGGAGCGAGTGATGTGGAGTTGTTGAGTGGGGGAGAGAGGGAGAGTGTGTGGTGGCATGGCATGTGGTCCATGTGTGAGGTGACAGGCCGTGCAGGTGGGGAGATAGCTGGCGAGGCAGACAAGAGACGGCAGAGAGGGGGTGTGCGTGAGGTCGGAGCTGTTATGGAGCAGTGGTTGCATGCCCTTGCTCACCAGGGTTGCAAGGAAGTGTGGGAGTGGGTGCAGGTAAAGAGGGATGGGCACAAGGCCGCATCACATGTGCTGACCTGCATCCGTGCACCGCACGGCCCACTCACACCCATCCAACCCCCCTTCTGCCCCCCAAGTCCCCCACCCATCCTTTCCTGCCCTGCCCCCCTAGATCACTCCCACTCCTCCCTCATCCCACTCCCCATCCCCCCCCTCCCTCCCGCCTCCCCCCTCCCCCACCTTGACGTGGCCGAGCTGCGTGATCTGCATGCCGGAGCCGGGCACGGGAATGGGGCGACCGGCGTGGAGGCGGTGGAAGAACCACTCTTCGACGGGGTTGTAGTTGAGCGGGCCGTAGATGTACACGGGGCGGATGGACGTCCACGCCACGCCGCTGCCCGCCAGCACCGCCTCGCTCTCCAGCTTGCCCTTGTGCCGTGACTTGGGGTCCACCGCGTCCTCCTGTGCGAGAGGCACGCAGGGAGGGTGGGGCGGAAGGGGGAGGGGAGGGGAGGGGGAAGGGGAAGGAGAAGGGGAAGAGGAAGGGGAAGGGGAAGAGGAAGGGGAAGAGGAAGGGGAAGAGGAAGGGGGGAAAGGGAAGCAGGGCGGGGGAAGGGAACGGCTTTTGAGTTGCGTAGGAAGTGATGGACGTGCCTACAGTGCACCACTGCCCGCCTCTCCAGCCTGCCGCAGTGCCTCTCCACCGCGCCCTCCTGCGCCAAGCAGAGGGGGAAGGGGTAGATGGAACAACGCGGGGGAATGGGGAGCAGGGGCGGGGAGAGGGTGAAAAGCAGGGGAAAGATGTTGGTTGGCATGGGGAGAGGGGTATGGGAGAGGGTTGTAAGTGAGGGGGATAACAGGGAGCGGATAAGGGCAGGTGAGTGCGGAGCAAGGAGAGGGGGCGAGGGAGGGAGAAGAGGCAGGTGGGAGTGGGTGAGAGCGTGTGGAGGCAGGGAGATGCAGCGGGGCGAAAGGACGATGTGCACCGCATGGGGGCAGGGAGGTGAGGAGGTGAGGGAGGGCGTGCAGCGGTGCTGACCTCGCGGTGTGGCAGCTCGTCGGACTTGAGATAGACGCCCGCGGACGAACAGAATATGTACCTGGTGCCACCCATGGGCGCGCACACGCGGGTAGCGGGGGGACGGGGTGGACACAGGGAGACGAGCGGGACAGCGAGGTGGGGACACGAGGGGGGGGGGAGTCCGCGGGGGAGGAGAGGGACAATGGACGGAGGGGAGAGGGAGGCAATCAGACAATTGCGGAAACAGTAGAGGAAAGCGGCAGGCAGTGAGTGGGAGCCGGGCAGAGAAGCGGGGTGGTGTGCGGGGAGAGCAAGGGCATGAGGAAACGCGGTGCAAGTGAAGCGGGAACCAGAAAATGGGGGGGGAAGGGGGAGGTGGGATAGCGGCAGAGACAACAGTGACGGGGGGGAAAGGTGGGGTGCCAAGGCCAAGAGTGGCAGCGTGGGCAGAGGGCGTGCGGGCAGAGGGCGTGCGGGCAGAGGGCGTGCGGGCAGAGGGCGTGCGGGCAGAGGGCGTGCGGGCAGAGGGCGTGCGGGCAGAGGGCGTGCGGGCAGAGGGCGTGCGGGGGTACTGTTTGAGGTTGGGCAGCGCGGCCAGGATGGGCTCCACCTCGAACGCCTCGCGCCCTGCCGCGTGGGGTGGCGCGTAGGAGCGCGGGACGCAGGGCAGAGGAGGGCGGGGAGGGCAGGGGAGTGAGGGAACGAAGGAGCAACGTGGGGGAACGGAACGGAAGCGGATACATATCTGATCGTGAAGCTATCTATTTCTTTTCCCACCGTTTTCCAAATCCTCGGCCCCATCCCACTACCATTCCAACGTGCCTTGCCTTGGTCCTCTATCTTCCCTTCACTTCCCACCCCGCTCCGCCCCACCTCCGTCCCGCCCCACCCCGCCCAGCCCCGCCCCGCCCCACCCCGCCCCACCGCGCCCCGCCCCGCCCCCACTTCCGTCCCCAACCCCCCCCTCCTGCGCGCACCGTTGATGTCGTACACGGCGTCGAAGTCCGCGCCCTGCAGCGCGGCCCTGAGCGCGTCGAGGTCGCGGCGGTCGCCCGCCAGGTGGCGCACGCGCGCGCAGTACTCGCTGTAGTCCGCGTCGCTCTCGCCGGGCAGCTGCTGCGTCACCGGCGACTTGCCGCGCGTGAACAGCGTCACCTGCGGGCCAGCGGGCGCGGGGGGCGGGGGGTGCACGCGAGGGGAGGTAACGCGCGCGATCGCATGCGGCTTACAACAGCTGTCTTCCCCCCCTTCCTCTCTCGCCCCCTCTCGTCATCCTTTGGTCCGCAATCCCCCTCCCCCACCACCTTCAAAGTCCCTAATTCCTACCCTTCCTCTCTCCCCACCTTACCCACCCACCGACCCGCCCCCGCGGCCCCCTCTGCCCCACCCCGTCAACCCCTTCTCCCCCTCCCCCTTTTCCGGGTGGCGGCGCGCGCACCTCGTGGCCGGCCTTGACGAGCATGCGCGCGAGGTACACGCCGATGAACCGAGTGCCGCCCATCATCAGCACCTTGCGCGCCGTCACTGCGCCCGCCCCGCCGGTGCCGGCCGCCGCTGCCCCGGTGGACGCGCGGATGGTCTTGCGCGGAGCCGCCGCCGCCGGCGCATGGTGCTGGGGGAGAAAAGGAGGGCGCGGGGAGGCACGGGAGAGACGAAGGATGCAGAGAAAGGGAGGGGTGGGATGACAAGGTGGAAACTGCAGAATTGGGGCGGAAATGACAAATCTACAGGGGAAATGCGCGAGCGGGAGGCGAAGGAGGGGCAAAGATGGCACCTTGGCGCGCAGTGCTTGAAGCGGGGAGTGAGCGGCGGGCGACACGCGCTTGAGCCCCGAGAAGGACCCCAGCGACACGGTGCGCGAGGCGCGCGCAGAGGGGACTTGCGAAACGTGCGCGACAGACGCGCAGCTGGAGAAAATGGGGGGGTGCGGGGGGACAAGGGACAGGAGCAGAGAGGAGGGAAGGTGGGAGAGCGATGAGAGCTATGGAGGCGAGGAGCAGTTTGCGTTGTGAGATTTTTCAAAACAAGCAGGACCGCGCATCCCCGATAGCTGCGCGCGCGCTGCCACGTGCATGGCGCCGCAACCGTGAGCAACGGCGAGCATGGTTGCACAGGTGGCGCGAGCGCAGCAAGATGCTGGGGGGCGAATTGAGTGGCGGCAGCACCTGGTGGCGGCGAGAGTCGCAGACATCGCTGGAGCCATAGTGGGTGAAGGAGGGGGGAGTGATGAGTGAGTGGGTTGAATTGAGTAGTGGCACGTGGGCTGGGCCACTTTATCCCACTGACACCACCCAACAAATGCATCCGCCCTCACTCCCATTCCCGTTGGTGATTCCAGTCGCGTGGATGAATGTGTGGTGTCCAGTCCAGTCTCGAGTCTCGAGCCTTGATGCAGAGGCCAGAACGTCAAATTAAAAAAAATCTGGGTGGACTGTGCTCGAATTCCAACCAACCCTTAGCCAGATTGGCGTCGAGGTCTGAAAAGGGGCTTCTGTACCTCATCCGAAACACGCAAACACATATGTTGCATGGCGAACTCGCCACTCAATATGGATCCCTGCCCGTCCGGGAAACAACCCCTACGGAAATTCATGTATGCACACTAGCGAGGGATCAGATTGCCACGTCACACCAAAGAAATCCACACCGTTTCTAGTTGTAACTTGGAGCGTCACAACAAGTCAGAATTTTCGCGACAGCCGAGAGTGTTCTCGTTCACTCCACCTAGCAGTACACTTGCTACAGTACACAACAAGGAGGCAATACATGTGGGGAGCATTTTGCAGTTAGTTTTTCCCCGATGTTGTCCCCAGGTGCTGCCTAACTCATGCATAAATACCTTTCGGTTATTCCCAACAAATGTCCAGAATATCAAGCACGACCTTCACTTTGTTCAAATTCTAGTTCACTTTCCACTTTCCTTTCTGTAGTGCAGCAGAGATATACTACACCTAATTGAACAAAGGGAAAGGTTCTCTGACAAACTGAGTTCAGCATTTGGACAATCTTTACTACAAGAACTGGAAAACACTAGCCTGGCATTAATCAATGCAGTCAATTTCGCTGTACCGTATGGCCCCGGATATAGGCGCCGGCCTATTACAGGCGCCGGCGCTTCTATCTGGAGCATGGCGCTTATGGCCGAAACTCGATTATAAGCGCCCCCCCTGAAAAACAATTACTTATTATAAGCGCCCCCCATTTATAATTTAAATTCTCAGTTTAAATCGGTAACGAATTTCAGCTTTGCAGCGAGTCAAAACTCAATTTCGCTTCGTTTGACTCGCGAAGACCTGACTGGCTGCGCGTCCAGTCAGGATGTGCTGGCATGCCTGCAAAGTGACGCGAATTTGCCCGTGTACAGGTAGCAGAATCGCTTGCGCGCGATTCTGCTTTTTGACGCTTTTTTATTTCGACTCGTTTGATTTGGCAACAATGAAAGGTACAGTTTGGTACCTTTAATGTATAATTTTGTATTTGTCATTATATAAGCGCCGGCGCTTATGGCCGTTACTCAATTACAAGCGCCACCCCTAAAAAAAATGAACTTATTATAAGCGCATATGCGCTTATATCCGGGGCCATACGGTATTGTTACTGCTGAAAAGAATCAAGTGCCCAACGGGCATGAAAATGGATTAGCTAGAAGTCAGGCAGGCTGATTTCTTCATGCCATTAGTTGAAAGTCTGGTCTAGGGTATGGCTACAGGCATAGCACACTATACCTAAGTGTGAGGTGGAAGAAAGATGGTTGAGTTGGGGGAGGGGGAAGGGGGGAAAGGGATCTCATGCAGGAATGGACATGTGTGAGGAGAGAAGAGGGGTTCGGAGAGAGGACAAGGGAGAACAGGGAGAGGGGGTTGGGGGGAGGAGAGATGAGATGAGGGAGAAAGGGGAAAGGGTAACAGGTTGTCGCGAGGGTGGGAGAGAGGGCAAGAGGTCGAGAAGAGCAATGACAGTGGGCATGGTGAGGAACCATGCAATGCAACAGTTGAATCATCAAAACCCGGCAGTGTGCCTCCACTTGAAAAACAATCACCTCCTCATCCTCCCCATCCTCCTTCCCCTCCTCCACTTTCTTGTCCTCCTCCGCCCCTCCTCCTCCCCACCCACCACACCTCCACACACAGCTGTCTGCCAACTCAAGGCGAGCTACCTCAAAGCGGGCAGCAGAGACTCGCAGCCACCAATGCATGACTGCACGTGGCCCTCAACTGCCCTACTGGTTCTTCGACAAGACAGCAGGAGGCACAGGTGGACTGCAGCCCTGTGAAAGCACCCACATGTGCACACCACGAGCCTCATAGCGGCCACCAGTGGCCACGCATACCAAACCCTTGCCGCTGACAGCTCTAGCAGACTCGAGCCTCCCTTACAATCAGCCACTCCTTATTGCCTGTCCTCCGCGGCCAACCCAGCAGCAGCTACATCTGAGACTCCCGCGCGATAGAAAACTTCCCCACCAGCATACATGTGAATCAGCGCCCTGAGGAGCACACATCTTACGAACCATCCTTCCACCTCCCACACCCTCTCCTTCCAACATCCCCACCCTTCCTACCCTTCCATCCCCCTCGCTCAGCCTGTCCTATGTATATGCAGTGCAGGTACCCACACTCCTCCCCCACATCTTGGCCCCCCTGCCACGTCAGTACTCCCCGTGGCAGAGCTACCGGCGGTGGGAGAGCTCGCCGGTGACAGCGGGAGGCGACTTGTCGAAGGGCTGGGAGAAGGACCCGCCGTACTTGAAGCCCGAGCCTGACCCCGACCGCACCAGGTCCATGAGCGCCTTCGCCTGGTGCCACGCACGGGGGGTGGGATGCACGTACAGCATGACACCAGGTTATGCGCGCACAAGGTTTACATGAACAGCAGGCACACGGGCGGCTTCATGAGGTGGTCAAGGGGTTGAGTTGCACACGGAGGCGACTAGGGCGCAGAGACAAGGGTGGGGTCGGGGTGATTGAGGGGGCACACCAGGCATGGAGAGTAGGGAAGCAGGGGGGCAAGTGGAGAACACGGAAGGTCATGGGAAGTAGGCGGAGAAGGTGGGTCAAGGGGATATGTGAGAGGAGGGGTGGGGAAATGGATGAGAGCAGAAAAAGAGGGGGGCAAGAGGAATGAAACGACAGTGATGGCAGTGGGAGTGCGGTGCACATGCACACACGTGGAGTGAGTGAGGTCAGGTGTGGAGTGAAGTGAGGGGTGGAGTGCGGTGAGGAGGGCCGTAGCCCTGTGCGAAGAGCAATGCACAAGTGGCGGAGCAAGCAATGCGAGAGTGAGCTGATCCGTGGGCTGTACTGCCTGCACCTTCTTCACGGCCTCTCATCCCAACCATCTGACAACTGCATCTGCAATGTGGATAGGGCAACCACCAACGGCGTACTGCCATTGCATGTTACCCTAAGTCTCTTATAAGTGGACAGTCGATGTCCTCGAAGATGAAATGAGAGAGCATGTTGGGAATGAAGGATGTGGCACGGATGCGTTATTCGAGTAAACCGAGTCAAGCATTCGTTCCTTTCCAGGTACTCGGTTTCCCAGCAACTCAATTTTCACCTCTTTCTCCCTCACGCACAGCCCCCTAACACCATATTGGCACCGCACGGGCCCAGCCTCTTGCCCTACGCGCTCACGAAACATCTCTCCTTTCTCGTCTCTCGTCTCTACACCGCACTATAGCCCTCCTCCCCTCAAGTGAACACGAGCCCGTTCAGTCGCGGGTCATTGCGCGCGCAGGCCAACAGCCCCTCGCAGCAGCGCACAGCCCTCGTGCCACCCTGCCCTGCCCCACGCGAGTCGACCAAAACTCGCTGTCTCTCGTCTCGCTCTTGCCGGCAACCACCCCGCCACCTATTTGAATCGCTCTCCGCAAACCGCCTCACGCGGTCCCACGAGCACCACACTTCCCGTGCGCCCATTCACCAGAGGCTGCTTTTCACTCAATAAACTTTCACATTCTGACGTTTTTCTTCGCACACAAACCCGTGGAATTAAAAAAAAAAGCCGGCTTTACCGATAGGAACCACCATCGACGTTTACCCGCGGTCATCACGCGCGCGGTGCAAGCCGCCTAAACTCGGTTAGTGCGTCCCGCTGTCGCCTTGCTTCGCGCGCATTAGCGCCGGCGCGATCGAGCGGTCCAAAAACTCTGTGAGTAACGCCCGCGGGATTTCACGCGGCGACAGCGGAGGCGGACTCTGCGACACTCTGGGTAGGCCCCTGTTTGCCGTAACAGGTTCGAAGCGGAGTGCTACACTCTGATTGTCTTGCTACGTAATGGAGGTTGGAAGAAATGAAGGAAGATTCACGACAAAGCCTACGGATGCACCTCACATGGTGGTCAAAGGTGGCTAACGACTGGGATGGCGACCCACCTAGTGAGCGCAAGAACACGTCGCCTTGAGATAGGTCACTTGCTGCACAAATCACTAGGCCTTGGCAGGGCACGTGCATTCAACGTAAGCACGGCGACGTGACGAGACGAGACAAGACATCACCTTGGACTTGGCGCGCGTGGTGCCGGACTGCGCGAGCTTGGAGAGCGCGGGCGAGCAGTCCTCGTCGGCGATGGCCTGGAACGACGCGGCGTTGTGCACGGCCAGCAGGTGCAGCGACACCGCCGCGTCCTCCTTGGCGCGCGCCGACCCGCTCTCGATCACGCCCAGCAGCGCCTGAATCCCCCCCTCCTTGTGCACGGCGTGACGGCCCTCGGAGAACTTGCAGAGATTCGCGACGACCGCCATCACCTTGTCCTCCATGCCCGCGTCCGCGTCGCCGCGCAGCAGCCCCATGAGCACGCGCACGGTGCCCGCGTCGATGATCTCCCCGATGCACGAGTCCTCCAGCGACAGGTTGAACAGCGCCAGCGCCGCGTCCTTCTTTCCGCGCAGGCTGCCCGTGCGCAGCAGGCTCACGAGCCCCGGGACGGCGCCCGCGTCCTTCACGCGGAGCTTGTTGTCCGCCGGGCCCGACAGCGTGAACAGCGCCGCGGCGGCGTTTTCCCGCGCGACGTTGCTGCCGGAGTTGAGCACGCCCACGATGCCCTCGATGCCGCCCGCCGCCGTCACTAGCGGCTCCACGCCGTCCGTCAGCGACAGGTTCAGCAGCGCCGTCACCGCGTGGTCCACGCACGACGTGTCGCGCGATTTCAGCAGCCGGATCAGCGCGTCGACGCCGCCCGCCGCCAGCAGGCGCGCCTTGTTGTCGGGGTTGTTCTTCAGCGACGACCGGATCGCGGACGCCGCCTCTCGCGCACGCTCCACGTCCGAGTCGCCCAGGGCCAGCACGAGCGGCTCCATGTCGACGCCCGGGCCGCCAGTCGTCCGGCTGGGCTTGGGCGACTGTGTGCGAGCGAGGGCTCGTCGCGGGGTGACTGTGCGACCCATGGAGCGACCGCTCTGATCGACACCGCCGCCTCCGCCGTCCATCTGTCCCTGCCTCGCAACCTCCGATCAGTCGCGCTACTTCCCCAAAGGACTTGCGAAACACCAGCACGATGAATCCGAACTTCCGTAGACGCGTGCTTTACACACCGCTGCCACTGCTGGTGGGTCGGCTACACGAGGCCACACTACCAGGGCTTGTACCTTTATACAAATCGTTGGGTCTCAAAACGCAGAGAGAACAAAACGCTAAAACGCCTGTGTACTGCGTGGCAACGCTTCATGCCCGGAGATCCGATCTGCAGGCACGGACGGCATTGTCGAGGTTCCACATTGCGCTGACCCACGATTCGCGACACTAGCTGCTCTGTAAAAATAAGCCAGCGCGCGCGAGATGTATGGTTGGCTTTCAAGCTCGTCAAGGCAGCGAATTTAGAGAGCGAGAAAACACCAGAGCAGGAAACTCGCCCACCAAACTGTGTCTTTGGTCAGAGTTTGTTGGAGGCGAAGAAGGGGAGGAAGGAAATAGTCAGGCCACCGAAGCCTTGAGTCCTAATCTGTGGCTTGGCCCTAGCCAAGCCTCAAATTGATAAAACAGTCAGGGTACTTTGGCATGGTCAACTATGGTGCAGTGAGATACAGCGCCTATATAAATGGTGACCAAGAAGGTTCTGGCAATCACCTTCCAATCTGGGACACCTGCGCCAGATACAACTTTCCTCCAAGGACGCTCCTCCCTTTTCCGCGCGAAGTGAAGAGCGCACAGTTTCCGTACCGGAGCTGAGGGGTCCGCGGGGAAGCAAGACAGGTCAGGTAGGCGACTCCCCGCGCCCACAGTCCCCTGCGCCCTGGCGCAGTTCAGAGAGGCGGAAGGAATGCGCGCTGATGGCTTGGGGTCTGCCACACAACTGTACACCATCAGCAACGAAAGGTCCGCATGGCCGCCAGTTGCCTCAACATCAGGCTGCTGTCAAGGGTAGCCACTTGATTTGAGGTATTTCTTGCGAGTGTCTCTCGCAGCTTCCAGTTTTAGGACGGGTGTAAGGAATTTTTTCGATATTCCTTAGCGCACCCTGCAACATCGCGTACAGCAGCAGCCGTTGTTCGCCCGTTACTGCTAACGGGGCTTCGCCGACTTCGCGCGCACTGTTTTCCCAAACCTCGCACTGCTGGACCGGCCGTGTCGGCCTACGCTTCGGGACTAGCCCGAGCCTCGCTTCCAGCGTAGCACCAGCTAGCTCGCACGCATCGCGTTACCGTTTGCATGTTTCGAGTATAAATGTTCGCTCATGCCTTCGCTCACATTTGTACTCGTTTGACACCTTAGTGCAATTCTCGCTACTTCGATTCATTGCACCCGTAACAACGGGTCGATCGACACCACCCTCTACCGCAAGAATTTCGGTTGCAAAATTTTGGGTATTGCATGTTGAGCTATACAGATATTTGTCCCCTAGCGGAAAAGGTGAGAGCTGGAAGGTGGCTTGGTTATGATACATCCTGTTCTCGATTATTTCACACCCCTTAATCGCACACCTTGGGGTACTTACCCTGCCCCTATCGGTTTCGTAGGGTAGTTACCAACGTCTAGGAAAATCGCAGAGGAGGGTCCGACGTACTTTCGCGAACTGTCGGGGTGCACCAAGAATATAAAAGAGAACCCAAACCTAACTAAACCCCAACCCCGAATTTTAAGTGCGAGTTTCTTTCTGAAGGTACCTGCCAGCTGTCTAGTCCCGCAATCTCTGGGTGTCCATCGCATCAAGTCAAAGTCCGTAAAGGGTACATACGGAAAAAAAGGGTAGGGGGTGTGCAATTATCGAGAACTAGGTGTACCCAGTTGAAGGCAACTTTCAGCTGCTACCCAAACGGTTCAAGTCCAGTTCAAGGTGGCGATATTCAAAGCGAGTTTATTCTGCATTTTCAACATAGGGAAATGTCAGAATATAATGCTTGTCTAGCCTGCAGTGGGGTACTCTATAGCGAGTACAGCCCCTTAGGGTTTCCTATTTGTATCCACCTGCTTGCTAGTGCAAACCCTCCTCCTTTGCTCATTTCTCTCTTGCCTAGCTAGGTAAACCCTAGCTATGGCTCCTACTTGTCCCTACTATTCTAACATGGTATTCAGAGCAGGCACCTTCCTGCTGCCTTCCTTAACGGACCCACCAGTCTGCTTCCGCTGCCTGTCATCCTGCCGCACGCCTCGGGCGCGCGGCGTATTTTCCTCGCCGTGCGCCCGAGGCACACGGCGATTTTCTGCCCGCCGTGTGCTCGGGGCGCACGGCGGTTTTCTGCCCGCCGGGCGCCCCGGGCGCGCGGCGTCTTCCTGCCCCGCGCGCGGCCTGCTCTCACGCCGCCTGTGCGCCTGCCCCACGTCCGCGCGCGGGCCTGTTCTGCCCGCCCGTACCCTGCCCTTCGCGGCACCCTGCAGAGGCGCCGCTCCTGCTCGTCGCGACGCCCCTGCGGGACCCGTGCGTCGCCGCTCCTGCTCGTCGCGACGCCCTTGCGGGACCCGCGCGGCGTTGCCCTGCTCGTCGTGACGCCCCTGCGGGACCCGCGCGGCGTCGCCCCTGCTCGTCGTGGCGCCCCTGGGGCGCCGCCCCTGCTCGTCGCGGCGCCCCCTGGGCGCTGTCCCTGCTCGTCGCGGCGCACCCCCCCCTGGCCGCCGCCTCTGCCTCCCCTGCGCCCGCGCCTGCTTTGCAGCAGCGCGCGGGCGTGCCCTGCACCAGCGACGCCGCCCCTGGAGCAGCCGCCCCTGGAGCAGCCGCCACTGCAGCAGCCGCCCCTGGCCCCTGGAGCAGCCGCCCCTGCAGCAGCCGCCCCTGGCTACTGGAGCAGCCGCCACTGCAGGAGCCGCCCCTGGCCCCTGGAGCAGCCGCCCCTGGAGCAGCCGCCCCTGGAGCAGCCGCCACTGCAGCAGCCGCCCCTGGCCCCTGGAGCAGCCGCCCCTGCAGCAGCCGCCCCTGGCCCCTGGAGCAGCCGCTCCTGCAGCAGCCGACCCTGCAGCTGCCCGCGACGCCGCTCCTGGACCCTGTGCAGCCGTGGGGGGAGGGTATGGGGGTGGCGGGTGTGGGGGTGATGAGTGTGGGTGCTACCTTTCCCCTCCTCCTCCTCCTACTTCGTCTCCCACTGCTGCAGCTGCCGCTGAAGGGGGGTGGATGTGTGGGAGCCGAGGGGAGTGGAGCTAAGGGGGTGTCGTGGGAGTGGAGACAGGGGTGCAGCAAGGGGGTGTGTGAGAAGGGGGTATGGGACTGTTAGGGGAGGTAGAGCGGAGGTCGCCGTCGTGTAGTCAGCGGCGCCAGTAGTCCGGAGCCCTCGTGCTCTCGGTAGCCCAGCGAGCCTGCTTCGCCAGTCGCCTGTGGGTCCGTTGCTCCTGCCGCTCGTCGTAGCCGCGGAGCCAGATACTCCCGTAGTCCGGTGCCCTCGTGCGCTCGGTAGCCACTGTGCGCGCCGCTCCTGTTGCCCGTGTGACTGCGGCTTCACCTGTCGCCTCCTATCTCCACTCCTCTCACAGTCCCTCCTCCTCCTCACTTTGCCTCTTCTTCTGTTGCGCCCTGCAGGGTGTACCACTTCAGGGGGTGTTCTGTACATGGTTCTCACTGCAATCAATTAGGGGGTGTGTTGAACTATATTTATATATGTTCTTTATAATTGTCTGCAGTGTAGAGTGTAGCACATCCCAAATTTGTTGTAGGTGGTGCACCATGCTTCTCCTTGCTATATTTTGTACTCATCTTTCTTAGTGAAGCCACTTCTTCCTGCTTCAACTCTCTCGACACCTCCTTCAACCCTAAAACCTAAGCTACTAAGTTACTCTAGCCATGGCTTCTAAGCCCAAGTAATTGCTTAGTATCTTGACAGGAAATTGAATTTCTTGTTCTGTTTTTTGGGAATGTGGGTGCTAATAACAAATTCAAGGCGCACTACGAAATGACCAGATTTCGAAAACAAGCTCGTCTGATTGGTCGGACTCCTTTGCCAAAAGGCGGTTCAGGAAGAGGGAATATTCTACTGTATGAGTTAGACAAAAGAGTATGCGGAGCCCAAACAGGCTATCTAAAAAAATGCATGTTTGTGCTTATAGTATACTAATTCTTATAAGCTCATGGGACATTTAAACGGACGGTCTTATATTGTACTGTCAAACATACATGACATAGTCTGTGTAGGCTGTAGTGGGGTAGACCATATGGGGTACAACACTGCTAGGTTTCCCTACTTATACCCATCTCCTTGCTAGTTCAGTCATTTCCTCTTTCTTCACATGGTATAGAGCGGGTTCCCTAGTGGGACCGTTTCTTCCTAAGGGCCCACCATCTAAATTTGTTTTTCCTACCCTGCCCGAAGTGCGCTTCGCGCTCTGACCTGCCCTACCCTTTCGCGGCCCCTTAGCGGCCTGCCGTGCCCTTAGCGGCCCCTTCGCGGCCCCTTAGCGGCCCCCTTCGCGGCCCCTTAGCGGCCCCTTCGCGGCCCCTTCGCTGCCCCTTCGCGGCCCCTTCACGGCCCCTTAGCGGCCCCCCTTCGCGGCCCCGTAGCGGCCCCTTCGCGGTCCCTTAGCGGCCCCTTCCCGGCCCTTTCGCGGCCCCTTCGCGGCCCCGTAGCGGCCCCTTCGCGGCCCCTTAGCGGCCCCTTCGCGGCCCCTTCGCGGCCCCGCCCCGTCGCCAGTCGCGGCCCCGCCCCGTCGCCACCCGGGTGTCGCCCCTGCCTCGTCACGACGCCTCAGCGGGACCTGGGCGTCGCCCCCGCTCGTCGCGACGCCCCTGCGGGACCCGCGCGGCGTCGCCCCTGCCCGCCGCGGCGCCCTGCCCTAACCCGCGCCCGACCTTCGGACGGCCGCCCCTGCCCCCGCCCCTTGCAGCAGCTGCCCCTGCAGCAGCCGCCCCTGGCGCCTGGAGCAGCTGCCCCTGCAGCAGCCGCCCCTGGCCCCTGGAGCAGCCGCACCTGCAGCAGCCGCCCCTGGCCACTGGAGCAGCCGCCCCTGCAGCAGCCGCTTCAGGCCCCTGGGGCAGCCGCCCCTGCAGCTGCCACCCCTGGCCCCTGGAGCA